CGCCTCCCAAGTAGCTGGGACCACAGGCGCCCGCCACAACGCCCGGCTATTTTTTGGTTGCAGCCGTCATTGTTGTTTGGCGGGTCCAGGCTGGGGATTTGAACCCGCCACCTTAGGTGTACGTGGCTGGTGCCCTAGCCCGTTGAGCTATAGGCGCCGAGCCTGGGGGCCAGGTTTGAACCCGCCACCCCCGGTATATGGGGTCAGCACCCTACTCCTTGAGCCATAGGCACCACCCTATAATATTATTCTTAAAAATTTATTATACTGATCGCAAATTAAAAATACTGGCCATTACAGTAAAGAATGAGGGAGGCCAGTCTTATCCATCAACTGTGTACACTTGTTTGTGAGTGTGTGGGTAAATACACAGTTGCTATGTACGTCCCCAACATCTGAGGATGAGGAATGATGTACACAAATGACTAAGGAAAAGCTCTGTGAGAAGGAGCCCGTGAAAATGGGAGGAGCTGATGAGAATCACACAGAGAACAGCAGAGTCTTGACCATAGTAGGATGAAGGATTAACTTTCAGACAGCAAATCCCCAGTAGATAATCTAATACATGGGAGAGGGTAGGGGACTGAGGAAGTGGTGGGGGGGTCATGGTGTGACACACGTCTTGGGGGCGGGACGCAATTATAAGAGGGACTGTCCCTAAAATATGCAATCAGTATAACCTAATTCTTTTACCCTCAATGAATCCCAATCAATCAATCAATATTTTTCAAAGACACACACATTAAAAAACATAGCAAATACCACCATTCCTGTTAACACTGAGGGCAGCTGTGTCTAACAGCCCACCATCTCTCAGGGTCTAGCTGACAGTCTCAGGAAAGGTAAATCTGTGAAGCCAGTGAGGCAAGTGGCCAGAACACTAAGTTTCACCTACTTATTGGCGACTGATTCTACAAGGGAAAAGAGCTGCTCAGGCTCGTCCGTTTGTGGGTCAAAGTCCATTGCATTTCTAATGATGTCCAGGGCCTGCATGTTCCATCGGGGATCCAAAGGGATCACGAACTCATCTATTTAAAACAAAAAAAATAGCATTTTGGAATAAAACTCATTGTCTGGCAAGTTTCATTCTGTTACTTGATGACAGCGTCCTGATGGAGAAGACGTACGCCAGGGAAATGCTGTGTCTGCATTTTACTCCATGACGCTGGAAAGGTGGGTTCAACAGCTCTCAGGCCATTTCCTTTCCAAGTGCAACAGATCTACAAATACATATACTGAAAATTAATCCCACTCCAGGATACATGTGTAAAGGTAATAATCTCTGCTGGAATATATACTCCAAACAATGAGTTCATTTCCTTAGATTCCACTGCTGGTCTGAAGAGAACCCATGGGCTTAGTTGCCCAGTCGGTCACCCTCAGCCAAAAAAAACATGTCAGAAAATCAAAGAAAACATCTTATCTTCTTTTTTTTTTTTTTTTTTTTTTTTTTTTT